GCAAAGTTGTGGTTGTGACATAAATATATATTTGTGAATATGTTTTTTATTTGCAAATCTCATTTTATTTATTTGTGAATTTAATTCATGTTTGTGAAACTTTAAGATTTATTTGTGGATCTCATTCTATTTATTTGTGGATCATAATCTATTTATTTGGAATTAAGCAACAATTCTACCCCCATAGTTTCACACCGTTTCCAGGAAACATGTCGTTCAAACCGGAAACCGTAGCAAAACTGTGCACACCGGTTTGAGCTTGAACTTGCCCCAGGTGTTCAAGAAATCGACAGATATGTCTGTGATTGGCTACATTGCTCAACGCTACAAGAACAAGTTGTAAATAGAAACTTTTGACACTCTCCAGAGCACAAAAACAAATACACACCGAAGAGGTTGCCAAATCTGTATTATCAAAGACTGTATAAAAACATGGACGTAGCGTTCGTGACGTCACCCGTAGATTTCCGAAGAGCGTTTTTGAAGCTCAAAAGTGGGCGGAGGCAGCCGTCGCCATCTTTCTCCCGGATAATCGAAAATGGGCAAAGAGGCGGGAGCAGGTTGCTGAAGCCACGCCCACCTAGCTCGATGGTGGTGACAGCAGCGGCAATCCACCTGTCACTCAAGTGGCCACGCCCTTAATTATGCAGAACTTTAAGGCTTAATATAATTTAAACGGATGAGTTATAAAAAAATTCACCCCCTCACAGTTGTCATGAAGGGCAAAATTATCTATATAGACCAAAATCCTTTTTTGAACCAGGCTGTAAACTTGTTTTTTTCTGCTGTAAAGTTGGGCATTTTAACATGGGGGGGGGGGTCTATGGGATTGACTCCCTTTTGCAGCCAGCCTCTAGCGGCCAGTTGATGAATTACAGTTTAAGTCACTTCCTTGTTGGCTTCACCAGAGAGAGCGGGAGGTTGCCGCTTGATTATTATGTACAGTTTTAACTGAACTGCTCTTGCATTCGTTTGAGGGTGCGTGAGAAAATGGACGTGTGGTGTGAGACCGCCCCCCACTATTGCTATGTCCGACAAGCCATGGCGCTCTTACGCCACACATCATGTTCTCACGGTTCTCACAGTGAAAAATACAACACGAAGCAAAGAGGACACTGACAACACGCTGACAGACAACACAGAGCAGGTTACATTTGGTATGAAACAGTCTCAGCTTTCAAATTTGGTCATTTTTTAAAGAAATTCAAACAATAAATACCGTTTTGTGGCTCTTTAATGTGTAGCAACAGATCGCTGTAGCACCTCAGTTCAAGAACTGCGGTAAAGTTGGTTTTATGTTGGACATTCGTTAGACATTCGATCTTTTCTTCAGCATTAATTTATATGTAATCGCATAATACTAATGGATCATGCTGTATCTCGTTCAGATCACATTTAAAAGTATAATATCAAAATTAATAATAATATTATTAAATGATGTAATTGTTCTAAGCATCTGAAGGGAAAAAGTAATCACAACTATCTTTACTTGGGCACGTCAAGTTAGGGAGTATCTCAAAAGTGCAATCCAAAATAAACTTGGTTAAATATGTGCTTTATTCCATAAAAACACAAAAAATGTGACTCTTTTACATGTGTAGTTTAT